TGGGACCTCATTCAGAATCCTCCGACATAGTTATTACACTAATGTACTCTGTACCACTCCGGGTACCATTCAAACATAAAAAAAATTATTCACATTTGCCGGATTCTAGACCATCTGTCATCACGGCTCATTCGGGTCAATAAAAATAATATTTGACTGATTCTGGCACCAACCCTCCAGCTCAGTCTAACCAATATATAACGTCTCAGGACTGATTATGGGCATCAGCTCTCAGGCTCGGTCTGACACACACGTCACAACACACTACTTTCATTCTCTCTTTCTTTATATATATATATATATATATTTTTTTTCTAAAATCATTTCCAAAATCATTTCAGAAACTATTTCAGAAACTATTTCAGAAATTATTTCAGAAACTATTTTCGAAATCATTTCCAAAATCATTAATTTACTATTTTGCCCTTAATCTTTTCTTAAAATTCCATGTATGTCCCTAAATGACTATTTTGCCCTTTGACATTTTCAAAAATTTCTTCCATGTCCCAAAAATGACTATTTTGCCCTTGGACATTTTAAAAAATTATATTTATGTCCCTAGGATGTAAAATGACTATTTTACCCTTGAACATTTTTAAAAATTTCTTTCATGTCCCTTTCTTCTTCCTCGCGCCGATAATGGTGTCAAAATTTGCAAATTTTGACAGATTTCAAATTACTCAGTTTTAGACAACCAAACTAGTCCCAAATTCAAATTAAACATTAATTATATCTAATTTAAGTTGAAAACAACAATTTTACCATATAATTCATCCTTAATTTTAAGAATTAAAAAAAAAACTAACGGTGAACAATTTATCAAAATCAGAAATTCAAATAATTCATATCTCTACTCTTATTCCTTATTCACAGAGTACCCAACAATTCAATTTCATATATTGAATGAATTAAACTTTCCCTTACCTGGTATGGTATTTCTACCGAAACTTTCCCACTTAATTCAAGTTCTCTCCTATTTCACTAGATCCTGCACGAGTAGAATCTCGTTGTTTGAAATTTAGACAATAGAAGAAGAATGAGGAACATGTGATATAGGAGGAAAAATTTTCCGCAGAAACCATTCTTCCCACTACGAACAAGAAAATTTTTTATTGTGCATAAAGAAAACTTTGTTGCAAAATTTTCTTGTACAGTAAAAAACATACGTCATAATTCAGTAAAAGGTTTTACAAATTCGACACTGAATATTGAGATGATAAAATACATATTGTCATTATTATTTGTATTTTTGAAAAGGATTTTTTTTTGTTCGTCATTTTTATTTACTACTATTGCTCTAGATATTAAGAAGTGGTTCAGTTTTTCATTGAACTATTAAAGTTGTTAATTGATAAATAATAATTTGCTAACTTCTCATATGATTTTAATTATCTTTAATTTTTTAAAATGTATACAACATTAATTTGTTGCCTTTAATCACTGGGTAAACACATTTTTTTTCGTTTTTTGTTTAGGTTTTAAAAATAAAATTATACTTTAAAATAAAAATAATTATAAAATTTTTTAAATCCAATTATATAATATAAATGGTAAAATGAAAAAAAAACTGTATTTACCTACGGTTACACAACTTAGTTCGTTTTATTAACCGTAAAAATTAGATTAGTTTTTATTTATTAGATAAAAAAGTATTTTTGTTAAATATTAGTAAATTTGAACTATTTTTACTTAATTCAATAATATTTTTTTAGTAACAATATAACTTAAAATAATGACTGATATTTAATACACTATTATAACATATATTTTTTCTTTTATGAGATTTACTCGAAAAAAAAACTAAAACATAAATAAAATTTAATACAACTAATTATTTTTTTAAATTGCGTAAAACTATTTTTTTATTATTAACTATGATAAAACAATGATTAATATGATCCAATTGATGATAATAATGTCTTTGACACAAATATGAATGGTAAGTGAAGTTTTCAAACTTTGTAAGATTATTTTTTAAAAAGAAAATTATAAAAAAACGAGAAGGTAGGAGGTGATTAGTGTAGAGAAACGAAAAAAAAAAGTATTTTTTTATCTAAATCAATATTATTATATATATTTACTTTTTATTTATACATCAATGAAAAATAGTAAAAAATATAAAAAATATTATTTATAAATTATTTTCATTTAAATAAATTATTGATATTTGTATATTAATAATTTTAATTATATATATATATATATATTTAATTATTATTTTAAAAATATTATAATATATACAATTATAAAAACCAAACAATATATATATATATATATTTAATAATATTATTTTATTAATTTAAACTCACATATTTTAAAACAATAATTTTATTATAAAATATATTATAATTATATGTCAGAGTATATATTATTAATAATAATGATAATATTAATAATAATTTAATTATTTATATAATATTTGATATAAAAAAACTTCCATTAATTTGTCGTGTAAAAAATAGAATTTTTGTTTTGTTTTTAATATATTGTATCCAACGATTTCTTTTTTTAAATTAAATAGGTTTTTATTTATTTTCTGCGTTGGGTTTCAGAAGGGAATAAATACACACTTAACATTTCTTAATTTATAATTTTTAAAAGACAAAATTAAAATTTTTAAAAAATTGCAAACCCTCTTATATAATATTTTCATAAAAAAAATAATAAATAAACCCAAACTATCACACCTATTTACCTCTTCTCTTCTTCAAACTACCAGTATGGGAATTTGAAGAATAGCAAGACTCTTTACTCATAACATTCTGTTTCGTCTGGGAGTCCTATACTTTTGAAAACAATCAAACAAACCTTAAATGTTAGTAAAATGTATTAATGCGATAACTAAATTGATGAATATTCAACATTTTAGCAACTGCTTATATAATTTTGTTATTTTAAGAACTATGTAAGTAAATAATATTTGAGGAATAAAATTGATGATCAAAATATATTAATGCATTTTCAAATAAATTTACTTTACAATTTGAAATTTATTTTGTTTTAATATTTATAATGAGGTGGGTCCATTTTAACATAATACACACTCTTTAGCATGTGGAATAAACATTACGTAAACCCAGGTTTACCTATGCCTGCCCAATTTCAACGGTTTTAACTTATTTGCAGCATTACATATATTTAATTTGGTATTATTGCTCCGAAGGGGACTACTAGCAGTACGTTGTGTCTACACTTTTTGCCCATAGGTACTTATTGAGTTTAGAAGGTCTTCCTTCAATCGATAAAGATACTTATAATAACAACGGGATGACCAAATTAATTTCTAAAAAAATTAAAAATTTGTGATATATTTTATTGGAATAAATTATTTATATAATTATTATAATAAAACGAGTTAATTAGTTTTATTTTAGTCTTTGATATCTTTAATTCGATAAAAATAAGATTGGATTGACCTTCCATACTAAAAACGAGTTATAAACTTCCATTAATCCGATCATAAAATAAATTAATGAAATAATTAATAATTATATATATAATTAAAAAATATATTTTTAATTTTAAGATTTTTTTATTAACTAATATTTGTATTTAATAAATTAAAAAATATTATACTTATGTATTAAAATAACTAATTATAATCAATAATTTAAATTTAAGTAATTAAATTTTATAATTTAAAATATAATATTATAATAAAATATAATCTTTTTAATTATTATCATTTTAATTTTAATATATAAATATTTTTTAAAAAGAATCACCTTCATTCAATTTTTTTTACTCGTTAAATTTTTTTATCAGCTAAACCGTCATGGAAAGAACGAAAAAAATAAATAAATAAAATAAATAAAAAATAAAGTAATTAATTAAAACTATCAAAACGGCGTTCATTTTACTTTTATAAAAAATTTATGCTGCAACAGGTATTAATTAATTAGTAGTAGAAAGACAACTTTAAGTAAGAGATATTTTCAGACAAAGTAGGAGCCTAAAAAGCTGGCTACCACTCTTTGTTCTCTCAAGTCACAAGGAGGGCCAATACACACAAACCCTTTTCATTGTTTGGACCATAAAGAATAAGAAATTAATTAGGTTAAGCTATCATTTTATCAGAATAAAATTAATCTATTTCCTAGAAAAAAAACTGTGTATTCAAACTATAGAAGACGAACACGTTAAAAGAAAGAATAAACAAGTTCTGAAGGATTAGGTTAATGATTTTTGACATAGGTGTAAGAATTAGTAGTGATGTTGATGTTTGATGTATGGTATGAAAATGACATGGGAGTTGTGAGAAAGTTGATTATATTTATGAAAAGTTTTGGATGGGCCAGATGTGGCCCAAAAAGGGTTTTGGTTGTATCTTAAAAGAAGGGTTGGAAAAGAAGGAAAAGAGGGAGGAGGAACATGGTAGGTTGGGGGGATTCCCAATGAAAAAGTGTGAGAGCCCAAATTGTTACAACTCATAGGATAATGGTGGCAAGAGGACCTAATTATGCTCAATAACCTCCCTCATGTGCATGAGAGTGAGTGAGAAGCTGAAAGAAAAAAGAAACAAGAATATGTTATAGTGATGTGTGACTCATGAATCATTGATTGGGGACCATTGGATTTATTCTATCTACCAAACTTTACCCACTCTCACGTGCTTCCATAACACCTCCACTCACCTTTTTCCTCTTTCCTGGGCCACACCCTTTGCTCCTGTTTTGGGGTCTTTCGCACCAACATACCTGGACTTGCTAATTCTTATCATTCACGTTTCCTTGTCGTTTAAGGGCTTCTTCTGGCCCGTTTGTAGGTCCATTAAGATTCCTTCATTATTGTTCCCCTTCGTAGTTCACCTTCTCATATTAGGCCCAATTGACTTCTACGAACTTGGTCTCAAAGCCCAGCTGTATGTCATATATAGAGTTTTCTTTCAGGCTCATTCTTCCTACCCTCTTTAGTTTCTTTCTGCACTCTTATAATTTCTCTAGAAAGACAATGTTATCCTAGAGTGTTGCAATTATTGAATCTATAAATTATTCGGATAGATGAATCCAGAAGGTTTAAGTGGAGCTGGTGCAACAAGTACTAGAGGTGGAGGTGGTGGTGGTGGTAAAGGAGGAGTAGTAGGAAGTGATGTTGGTGGGGGGTTTAGGAGGAGGACATGGTGGGGTAATAGAGTTGGAGGTGGCTTTAGAGGAGCTGGTGATATCGGAGGAGGAACTAGTGATGGTGTTGGAGGCGGAAAGTTTTCGGAAAGTTAAACTAAGAATATTTTTTGGGGAACGGATTCTTGAAAAATTTTCAGAAAGCCGAATCTGAAATATTTTTAAAAAGTTAATTCTAAAATGCTTTCGAAATGGTTCAAGAAAAACTAATCCCAAATATTTATGAAAAGTTCATTTTGAAAAGTTTCCAAAAATGGCAATATGAAATATTTGCAGAAAATTCATTCTGAAAAACTTTCGGAGAATATGAGATACAGGAAGAAATTATGGGATGTAGGAAAAAGCAGCTTTCTTTGGCGGGAGCAAATTTTTTGAATGGTTTCCTTCCTTTTGATTATTGTTGGGCTTTTGACCTGTTTTAGCCTTCTACTTTTTGTTTACTATGCTCATTTTTTTCTAGACCAATGAATCAATTTTTGAACTAGAACTAATTTTGAGTTGAAAGTTTAGGCAATTATTACGTAAGGTAAGCGAATTAATACCGATATTGATTATTAATATTATTTTAAAATAAAAGCATTAAAGGTTTAAAATTAGTTTTGTGAAATTAATTTGATTTAAAACAAGTTAACAAATTTCACCAAATGCTACCACCTTATTAAGGACATCTTTTAATTTATATTTAATATTAAAATATCCTTCCTATATGGGATGGGAGAGAGGGGGTTGGTGGGAAGATGCACACATTTATTCACTTCGTAGCAATCTACAATTTTAAACCTAGAATCGTGGTATTGATTTATACCAATCATCATCATTATTATTATTATTATTATTATTATTTTCATTTTTTTTACTAATTGTTAATAATAAAGCAATTAAGATTCCTTGCAAAAGTGATGTGGCGAGTCTTGAATGGGATAAATTATTCATTTCCTTTCAAACTTTGATGCCAAAAAATAAAAATAAAAGTGCAAAGAGAAGAAGCAAACTTGTTTGGGTGGTGCCACGCACCTCTGAATGATACATGGGGACCCACATGGAAATCTTTTCCTGCCACGTGTAACGTCAACTGTGATGAAAACGTAAACCTTACCGAACAAACAACATTATTCTTTGTTCCCTTGTTTTGACGGTGCTGCTCTCAAAATTTTGTTTATTCATGGTTTTTGTCTTTTGTTTGATGGAAAGGGTAAGCTAAGGACCAAGTCAAATGTTTTTCTTTATCAATCACATTCACAGTAAGATCCTAACCCTTGTGTTTTCGTTTGGTCCAATATTTATACGAGAAAGAGAAACCAAACAAACTGCTATGTGCTAATTGCTCAAATACTAAACAACAACAACAACAACAACTCTCTGTTTTCGGTTATCTCAAAGCACATTTTAACGTCACTCTCTCTCTCTGCTTTAATTCATTCTCTATCCTCACTCTCAGATTCTTCAACCATGTTCGTGAAGAAACTCGTCGAGAAAGCATCCATAAAGAAGGTAACTCAATTTCTATGCCTCTACTTGGTTTTCTCAAACCGGTATACTTTGCTTCATGCAATCGTAACTTTTTTGTTTTGTTTGTTTCCATTTAGACCTTAGTTTTCTTCTACTTTTCTTTCGTTGTTTTTTCTACTCTTCTTTTATTATGGATTAGTTTCTCAATTGAAATCTAGGACAGTTCTTTCAAAAAAATTATTAGAAAGAGAGTTTTGTCTAATTGTACAGATTAAGACTTCAAACAGAAACCAAACACAATTTTAGATACATTTCGATTTTACTTGAATGAATCAAATTTACAATCGGTATATTTTAACTTCAGAATTGATTAAAATTATAGACCTCAATGTGTACTCTGTCTCTTTGTGATGAAATTGCTAGCGGTTGTGTTCAAGGAACAGAATGAAACAGAAATGGAGATAAAAGGATAGTGTGTGTTATCTTTTAATTTTGTTTTTGTTTTTGTTTTCTCAATGTGTACTCGTTTTCTGGTTTTCACTAAGTAACTGTATTTTTTATTGTTCATTATTCATTTTCATTAATACAATAGTCTAGATAGTTTAAGATATTGTCCTATTTACAAACCCAAGGCAAAATGTTATTTGAAATGTTATTTTTTTTAAGAAAAAAGAATAGCAAAAGCCAGTTATAATAATAGCTAAGTCAATCTTTTTTCATACATAAGTAGTTAAATGTATGTAATAATTCAGCTTCACTCGACATTTTTGACATACTTCTGTATTTCTAAATTATGATAGCATGTTTTGTGGAACACACTCAAGAATCAAGACTATATTATAACCATAAACATAAACTATAGTTTTTTTACATGGAAATGGAGAATTTTTTTAATTTTAATATATATGTTAAAATTTGAGAAAGAAATAACCATCACACACTCACATGAAAGAAAATCATAAAATGTCTCTATTAGCTGTTTGGTTTAAGGGAACAAGGAAAATTTTATTGTATGGCAAACAATTAGAGGGATAAGAATTTCAATAATAATCATAAATTTGTTGTAAATGATAATTCTCTTTGGTTGAATTTGAATGAGAAATTTGTTAGTGTGGACCCATACAATCTTAGCCAGCAAGAGTCCAACGCTCGGAGGTAACCTCAGAATTCAGAAGAATCGTGACAGTGTAGTACTGTGCATGCAATGCAAGTTTTGCATGAGCTAATTTAATGCTTCGTCCTTTTTTATTATATTTTCATTCTGATTTTGGTAATGAATAAAAATTATCTACACTAAATAAATACATTTTTCAAAAACTTGAAACATATCCAAGAGACAAAGACAAAGCACCATTTCATTTTTCCTTGCGCAGTCAAAATCTCTGGACTTCCTGCATCACGTCACATAAAATTTACTATTTATGTGATTAATTTTAATTTTTCATTTATATGTTAGCCCAAACTAGCATAAATGCCAATATTTTGTCATATAGTTATTACTCAAATAAACATGTAGCAACAATGCAACAAGAAGTGAACTTCATGTAGCAGTATGACATGCATTCAGCTAGAAAACTAAAAACCCCAGCTGTAAATTTGCGTTGCAGGCTGTTGGAAATTCACTGGATGGGTTAAAAGCCAGTGATGTAGATCCACGTTTGGTATTTCATCAAGGGGTACCATCTGGTGGTGCCATTTTTGCTTATGACAATATTCAGAAGATACTTGCTCTTTCTACCAAGTACGTTCACCCTTTGTCAATTTTGTGATGTACACTGTCTTGTCTTTTAATACATTTAATTGACAGAAAAAAAATGTTACTACTCAAGTATTTTGTTTGAGTTTATGGTTGAAACTGATTTTTGTTGAGCTTTCTATAAGGGATGGTCGGATTAAACTATTTGGAAAAGATAATGCCCAAGTCCTACTTGAATCTAGAGAGCAAGTGCCAAGCAAATTTTTACAGGTTACATTTCCTTTCTTTTTCCTAACCAATTTTAGTCTTGCCATTTCGAAGGCTCATTGGTTTCTTTCCTGCGGTGAAAGATGTTATTTTTCAATGATATTAACATTACTAGTGTTATTAATATATGAATGCAGTTCATTCAGAACCAAGGCATCCTTATAAATGTCTCTTCCAATAACCACATTGAGGCAAGTGCATCTATGGTCTTGCTTATTTGTTATCAAGTTTCAAGTTACCTTTGCATTTCATTACTAGGTGGTGTTCCATTATAAAGATTCACCACCTCAATATTTTATTGAAATCATGTTCAAGCACGTGTAATTCAGAAAATATATTTCACTAAAGATATTTCAAATATAGGTTTGGGACATAGACAAGAAACTGCTTTCTGACGTATTCGTTGTTAAAGAAGAAATCACCTGTTTTTCAGTCATTCAACATAGCCTTTTCTTGTAAGTTTTTCAGCGTACTTCGAAATTAAATTTTGTAGAAGCACCAAAAGTTATGAGCATGTGTATGTATTGGCAGGTATATTGGATTTTCTAATGGTAATATTTCAGTTTTGAGTCTTGATCAAGAACCATGGCATGTGGTACGAATGAAATACACCATACCCCTTTCAGTTTCCTATGGTGAGATTTATGGTATTTTTCCTTGGTAGATGAAAATCTTTTCTACATTGTTGATTTTCTAAACCAGAAATTCGATTGGAAAAACAAATAAATAAATAAGTACCTTCTTAGACATAGCTTCTTGTCATTTTTTAGGAAATTCAGCTGAAGAATCTGATGATACTGTTGTGACACACGTACTACCTCAACCAGCAGCCGAGAGTCAGAGGTGATTAGCAGAAAACAAGCCTTCTTTAGGCCATTTATATATAACTAATTTGGTGCTTGTTTCACTTGACCAATATATATATATATATATATATATATATATATATATATATATATATATATATATATTCTTTTTTTTTACTATAAAAAATTTCCAACCTTTGTTCTCTCATGTGTTCAACGCAGAGCTCTCATAATATTTAGAAATGGACAAATAATATTATGGGATGTTCGAGAAAGCAGGTCCATATTTAGAACTGGTGGAAGAATGTCACAAGCACGGTATAATGAAACAAAGAAAGTGTCTTCTGCATGTTGGGTGTGTCCTTTTGGAAGTAAAGTGGTTGTAGGGTACAACAATGGAGAGCTCTTTATTTGGAGCATCCCTTCTCTAAACACAGGAAATAGTTTAGCAACTGATTATAGTAGTCAAAACACTCCAATGTTCAAGTTTAACTTAGGATATAAATCGGACAAAACTTCCATAAGATCAGTAAAATGGATTTATGCCGAAGGAAAGGCTAGTCGACTATACGTCATGGGAGGTTCTGATAATGCCCCTTCAAACTTGTTGCAGGTATTTGAATTTTGCCTACAGTATTGAAAGATATATGTTGACCTGTTATTGGTTGAACATTTCTATATTTTTCCTTGACAGCTTTTCTTTTTATTGGAAAGAAATCCTAAATTTAAGTTCACCTATTTCAACGAATTTGTGATTTTGGATGGTTTACTTGCATTGAATTGGTTTAATGAACTTACGCTAGGTTTAATTTGGTGATTTAAATTTAAATAGCTACCACTAATCAGCATTATACGACGCAGGTAGTGTTGTTGAATGAGCATACAGAATCCCGCACAATTAAGATGGGGCTTCATTTGTCAGAAGGCTCTATTGACATGGAGATCATATCAACCTCAAGCAAGCATAGACAAAATTATTTAATTTTACTTGGAAAATCAGGGATTATATATCTGTATGATGATAATTTGATTGAAAGATATCTACTGCAAGGCCAGTCTAAGTCCACTCCTTCACTGCCAAAGGAAGTGGTTGTGAAGTTACCACTGGCAGATTCAAGCATCACTATAGCAAAATTCATCTCCAACAATCCCAATGTGTTTAGTTCTGAAGACGAGGTAATGGGATAGTGAAACTGTTCTGTTACTGTACCAAATATATTTTTGTTATTTTGACAATCTAATTCTATATATAATCGATTTTACATTTTTTTCTTCTTTTTGGTCACATAGTATTACAGTCAGCTGGTCAAGAGCTATCCACCGCTTATTCCCATTGAAACAAATCTCAAAGATGGGATTAACTTCAGCTCTGCCAATTTCACGGGATTTTCGAACTATAAAAACTTATACATAACTGGACACAGCAATGGAGCCATAACTTTTTGGGATGCGTCATGTTCCTTTTTCACCCCAATTTTGCAATTAAAGCAACAGGTAGTAATTTTATCCAAAACAATTAGCTTGTGTCCAAATGCTAGCTTTATTACTTTGAGTCCACGAACTACCCAAAAATTAACATTATATTCCCTTTATTTAGCATCAGTAAGAGTTTTTGTTTCACATTCAGAAAGGAGACAGCTTTCATGTGTGTAATATGCGTAGATAATAAAAAGGATTTGATTGTACTAGTTAATCATATCTGATTTATCGAAGTCCTATTGAAAATAGTGATAGAATGATAAGAATATCTAAAAGTATGTTTAGAAGTACGTACAACAAATAGGCTTCAACTTTTGAAGATTTCAGACATAAGACTACAGTATGTTGTATGTTTGATTCATTATCAGTTTTTTGAAGAGAAATAGCAACATACTCTCTAAAAACATTCACTTTTATGACACCTATTATCGGTTAAAATTTATTTTAAGCTATAAAGTCATAAGTTAGAGACTCATTGAATAAGAAGTAAGACCCACAAATTTTATGATTTTGAACAATTTCTATCAATTACAAAAATTGTGTTCAAAAGAATGTTTTAAAAAGTACATTGCCATCTATTAGTTTTTTAGATAATCTCTAGGAGTATTAAAAGCACGGCTAGTTTCTTTCTAATATATTAGCAACTTGAAGCAATTACTTTGTCTTTTACGCATACTTATTCTTTTATCTGTTATCTTGATTCAGGCTGAATATGATGTTTCTTTAAGTGGTATACCCTTGACGGCATTATATTTTGATAGCAACTCTCCACTCCTTGTTTCTGGTGACCAAAGTGGGATGGTGAGTTTCATTCAATTATGAATTTTGTGAAAGTGATATTTTCCTTTTTTCTATTCTATTCACCCATGCATATGTTATAGTACGTATGATATGATCATGATCTGCAGGTTCGTATCTACAGATTCAAACCTGAACCATATGCATCCAACAGCTTCATGTCTCTTACTGGTATTGTGTAGCATGTTACTTTTTTTACTGCCAAATCAGTAGTTATTAAACAAGCACAGACTTCTCATTTTAGTTGATAGTGACTTGCCTTTCCATTCCTCTTTTACAGGAGGTACAAAGAAAGGGACTGATCATATAATCCACAGTATGAAACTAGTAAAAACTAGTGGTGCTGTATTTTGTATGAACATAGATCACAACTCAAGACATCTTGCCATTGGTTCTGACCAAGGAAACGTGAGATATTTTTCTAGTTTTTCTTTCTTCTGTTTTAAATTTGGAAATGGGTTGTTCACTCTGTTCCACAGAAACAAGTTAAATTTCCATACAAATCCTCCTTTCACAGTGGATTGTCGTTCAATGTGACGAAAGTTATTATTAGAAATTGAGTTTTTTCTAAAATACTTTAAGTAACTTCTGATTGCTTTTTGGTTTGGTGATAATCCCTATTTTATGGAAGAGTAGGTTGTATGGTCAAAGATTAGGTAGAAAGGAGTGGTAATCCTTATTTTGTAGAGATTTACATATCTCTTTTTGTATTAAAAAAGAAAACCTTTATGGTATCAATCAACAACTTAGTTTTCTCTCTTTGATTGCTGCTAAATTCTGTATCACGCTCTGTTGTTCTTTGTTTATGGTTTTATACTACTTTGATGTTTTTGCTGATTTTATAACATGGTATCAAGAGCTCATTGATTTTAAGGGCCTGTGAGGGAGTGAAAATCAGTTAGAAAGTTATATACAAACCAGAAAAAAAAAATACCAATAACATAGAATGACATCCAGTTGCAGTTCTTTACCTCCACCTCCAGTTTTTGTGGGAGAAAATTATAATTTGTGGGCTGCGAAAATGAGAACTTATTTGAGAGCACAAACTTTGTGGGATGTGGTGGAAAATGGACGTAATCCAGCCCCATTATCCAATGACCCAACTGTGGCTTAAATACGACTCCATAATGAAGAAGTGGGAAAGGATGACAGGACACTTGTCATCATGCATGCAGTAGTTCACGATGATGTTTTTATCAAGATATTGAATCTTGAGACAGCAAAAGAGGCTTGGGAAAAGTTAAAGGAGGAGTTCCAAGGCAGCGAAAGAACAAGGAGGATGAAGGTGCTGAATCTGAGAAGAGAATTTGAAGCAATCAAAATGAAGGAGTTTGAAACAGTGAAAGAGTTTTCTGACAGACTTTCTAAAGTAGTTACTCAGATTAGATAGCTAGGTGAAAAGCTTAAAGATCAAAGAGTTGTGGAAAAAATATTGGTGTGTCTTCCAGAGAGGTTTGAGTAAAAAATCTCCTCCCTTGAAGAGAATAAAGATTTTTCTCAGATTTCAGTTGCAGAACTGGTTAATGCTTTACTAGCTACTGAGCAGAGAATATCTCTAAGGATGAAAGAAAATGTTGAAGGTGCTTTTATGGTCAACACCAAAGGCAAACCTCAAGGTAGAAGTAGCTATGAAAAAAAGCCTTTTGGTGGGAAGAAAGGCAAAGAAAAAAAAGAAGATGACGGCCACAAAAGAGGAGGTAGAAAAGAGAAGTTTTCACCTTGTCCTCACTGTACAAATACAAACCATACAAAAAACTATTGTTGGTTTAGGCCTGGAGTCAAATGTAGGGCCTTAACCAGCTTGGTTATGTAGAAAAAGTTTGCAAAAACAAGGCAAAGCAGCAAGGACAGCAAGTTCAAGTTGCTGAGTACCAAGAACAAAGTGAGGAGCAGTTGTTTATTGCTTCTTGTTATTCTGCAAGTAGCAACAAAGAAGTTTGACTCATAGATAGCGGGTGTACTAATCATATGACACATAATGCTAGTTTTTTTAAGGAACTTGATCAGCCCTACTTGTCCAAAGTCACTATTGGCAATGGAGAAAATGTTGATGTCAAAGGAAAATGAGTGGTTGTTGTTGAAACTCCTACAGGTACTAAATATATTTCAGATGTTTTATTTGTGCCTGAGTTGAGTCAAAGTATTTTGAGTGTGGGGCAAATGCTTGAAAAGAATTATGCTTTGCATTTTGAAAATATGAGATGTACCATATTTGATTCTTATGGATGTGAGCTAATGTCTGTCAAAATGAGAGAGAAAAGCTTTCCTTTAGAATAGAAACAAACTATTGAGCAAGCTTTTCCTAGCTTAGTAGATGAATATTCCTTGTGGCATAAGAGGTTTGGTCACTTTAGTTACTTAACCTTAAGGCTAATGAAGTATAATAATTTAGTTCAAAATATGTCTTCTATTCAAGAACATGATGATGTGTGTGATGTATGTCAATATGGAAAGCAAAGCAAACTACCATTTCCTAATGAAGCAAGTTGGAGAGCTACTGAAAAACTGCAACTTATACACACTGATGTATGTGGCCCAATGAGTTCAACATCCTTAAATGGCAGTAGATATTTTCTGCTGTTTGTAGATGACTTTACAAGGATGAGCTGGGTGTTTTTTCTAAAACAGAAATCAGAAGTGCTTGCTCTTTTTCAAAAGTTCAAGCTGGTAGTTGAAAATGAGGCTGAAAGCAAAATAAAAAAACTCAGATCTGATAATAGAACTAAGTATACAGCAGAGGAGTTTCAAAAATTGTGTGCACAAGCAAGAATTAAACATTAATTGACTATTCCTTACACCCCTCAACAAAATGGGGTGAGTGAAAGAAAAAATAGGACCATTATGGAGATGATAAGGTGTTTGCTCTTTGAGAAAGATCTTCCCAAAACCTTTTGGGCAGAGGCGGTTAACACCTCCACATACTTGCTGAATATGTTTCCTACCAAAGCCTTGAAAGGCAAAACACCTTATGAAGCATGGTATGGAAGGAAGCCCTCAGTGGAATATCTCAATATTTGGCTGCATATGTTATACTCATATTCCAGAGGTAAAGAGAGATAAACTGGATCACAAGTAAGAAGTTGGTGTTTTCTTGGGATACTCCAGTAACTCCAAAGGTTATAGGATATACAATCCTTTGACAAAGAAGATTCTCATTTGTAAAAATGTAAAGTTTGATGAATTTTCTAGATGGAATTGGGAGAAATACAAGGTAGAAGCCTTAAGTAAAAAACAGCTTGGAGTAGACACTCTCCAAGAACAATATTCAGAGATTGAAGAAGAAGATTTAGATGATGATGATGATGATTTTCCAATTAGAGGCACTAAAACCCTTGCTGAAATTTATGAAAGGTGTAATATTGCTACACTAGAACCTAAAGAATATGATGAAGCAGCTGAAATAGATGGGTGGAGATGTGCTATGCAGGAGGAGATGAATATGATTAACAAAAACAAAACTTGGCAACTTGTAGACAAGCCTACTAAACACAAAGTTATTGGTCTTAAGTAGGTTTATAGAACCAAATTGAATCCTGATGGTTCTATAAACAAACTAAAGGCTAGACTAGTTGTTAAAGGCTATCATCAACAACATGGTGTTGATTTCTTAGATACATTTGCTCTGGTGGCAAGACATGATACAATCAGGTTGTTAGTTGCATTGACAGCAAAAATGGGTTGAAAAATTTATCACTTTGATGTGAAATAAGCTTTTTTAAATGATTGACTTGAAGAGGATATCTTTGTTGAACAACCTAAAGGCTTTGTTGTTCTAGGGAGTGAAAACAAAGTCTACAGACTTCAAAAAACTCTTTATGGATTAAAGCAGACTCCTAGGGCCTGATATAGCAGAATTGATAGTTATTTATTGCATAAGGGGTTTAAACGGAGTGAAAATGAAGCTACTTTGTATGTGCAAAGGTCAAGCCAGGAAGTGCAGCTCATTGTTTCCTTATATGTTAACGATTTGCTAGTTATTGGCAAAAATTCAAATTCCTTGAGCAGCTTTAAGCATGACATGGAAACTGAATTTGAAATGACTGACTTGGGAGAAATGAATTATTTTCTTGGAATGGAGATTCACCAATGTTATGTTGGAATCTTCATTACACAAAGAAAATATGCTTTGGAAATATTGAAGAAGTTTTCTATGTAGAATTGTAAACTGGTAAACACACCCCTTGTTGTAAATGAAAAGTTGTCACTTGATGATGCTTGCAACAAAGTAGATACTACTACTTATAGAAGCTTAATTAGAAGTTTATTGTATCTTACAACCACTAGAACAGACTTAATGTTTGCTACAAGTTTGTTGTCCAAATTTATGCATTCTCCTAGTCAAGCTCATTATCGTGCAGCAAAACGAGTATTGAGATATATAAGAGGGACAACTGATTATGGTTTATGTTTTTCAAAGGATGAAAGTAGTGATCTTCAAGGATATGCAGACAGTGACTGAGCAGGAAGTTCAGATGATGCTAAAAGTACATCAGATTATGTTTTCTCATTTGGTAGTGGAGTTTTCTCTTGGAATTCAAAAAAACAAGATGTGGTGGCTCAATCCACAAATGAAGCTGAATATATTTCAGCTGCAGTGGTTGCAAATCAAGCCATTTGGCTTAGAAAAATTTTGCGTGATTTGAGGAAACTGAATGATGAAGCTACTGTCATATGAGTTGATAACAAGTCAGTCATTGCAATTGCAAAGAATCCTGTCCAGCATGGTAGAACAAAACACATCAAGGTGAAATATCATGCCATTAGAGAAGCAGAGAAATCAAAGGAAATCAGTGTAGAGCATTGTAGTTCAGTGAATCAGATTGTTGATATTATGACCAAAGCACTTTTCAAGAACAAGTTTGAATTTCTAAGATCAAAGCTTGGAGTATTCAAGAAAAATCTCAAGGAGGAGTGTTAGAAATTGAGTTTTTTCTAAAATACTTTAAGTAACTTCTGATTTCTTTTTGGTTTGGTGATAATCCCTATTTTATGGAAGAGTAGGTTGTATGGTCAAAGATTAGGTAGAAAGGAGTGGTAGTCCTTATTTTGTGGAGATTTACATATCTCTTTTTGTATTATAAAAGAAAACCTTTATGATATCAATGAACAACTTAGTTTTCTCCCTTTGTTTGCTACTGAATCCTGTATCACACTCTGTTCTTCTTTGTTTCTGGTTTTATACTACTTTGATGTTTTTGCTGATTTTATAACAGTTATTCAAGCACACCTTTAATTATATGCAAGAGATTGATTAATGGGAGTAAACTATCTTATTACTAAGATTCATCAGAGTTACCAAGGATCCATTGAACACATAAGCTTAAAAAAAAGAAAAGAAGAGAGAACACTTTGTGTCACTTCTTTAAGCAACTTGGGAAACCCGAATTTCAATTGTATCCCTGACGCTGATAACATATTTGGGTGATAATTATTTATCATGTTGTTGCTTAGATGAGCATCCTTAAGTGTGAAACTTGCTATTTTAGGCTCTTTAGATTTGAGTTTGACAGTTGTTTTAATATATTCAGAATGTTAATTTGTGTGATAATGAACCATGTTGTTTCAGGTTTCAGTCATTAACATAGATGATCCATCTTTGTTATACCGGAAAAATATTACAAGTGAAATTTCCACCGGTATCGTCTCTTTGCATTTTAAAACCTGCAGTTTGCATGGTTTTGAGAAAAACATTTTAGTAGTTGGAACAAAGGACTCATCTGTTCTAGCACTAGATGGTGAAACTGGGACCTCATTGAACATTGGAGCTATTCATCCTAAGAAGCCCTCTAAAGCTATATATATGCAGGTGTTGGGTAAGAGTTTGCACAGTCGAAACAATGATCAAATGTCAAAATACATTGATTCAAGTTATCAATGATCTAAATGTTTATTGTGTCTAGGATTCAATCTCCAATGTTTTTTATAGCAGTGAAGGATTTGATAAAAGAGACTAAAGCTTTCTACTTTGTAATACAGATGGACAAGGAGAACCAATCACAGGATTAGTTACAAAAGATGGCTTAGACTCGAGAGAAGGGAATCGTACTGAAGATGCAACAGCAAAGCAATTGTACATTTTGCTCTGTTCTGAGAAGGCTTTGTATGTCTATTCTTTTGTGCATGCTGTACAGGTGACATGCTCTTTACTTCTGTCCTTATGAGTTATGATTGACCCAACTATTAGCTGATGGTTGCAGTTACTCACTCTCATGGGTTTCAGGGAATTAAAAAGGTGCTTTACAAGAAGAAATTGCATTCCTCTTCCTGTTGCTGGGCATCAACAATTTTCAGCCTCTCTGATATCAGTCTTGTTCTCCTTTTCACCAGTGGGAAAGTAGAATTAAGGTGGTGGTTAAATATGCATATACTTTTAAAAGAATTGATGGGTGTATCACATGGGATACAATTTTGTGTTGAAATTCAATCCCCACTTCGAGTATTAAGAAAAATGCTACAACCAATCCTTTCTACCACTAAGTGCACCAAAAGAGTTTGGCTTTATGGATTCTAGCATATTTTGATGCTGAATCTTGACTAATTATTCATACAATTTCATGTATTTTAAATCCTTATTAGTAGTCTCCCATTATGTCAAATTTCATGTAGCATTCTTTTTTTTATTAACGATTTAACTAGACATATGTAACAATCTTAGGTCTTTGCCCGAGTTATCTCTGATAGTGGAGACTTCAATCAGAGGTTTCACTTATTTGCCTCCAAAATTGAAGTCATATTCTGATCGCCAGATATGTTGTTCATCCAAAGGAGATCTTGTTTTGGTATGACTGTATCGTTGACTAATACACCAGGTTTTTTAAATATATTTATGTTATCAATTTAACTCAATGTCAGTGTACAGGTGAATGGTGATCAGGAAATTTTTGTTGTCTCACTGTTGGCCCAGAGAAATATTTTCAGGTATATAGACTAGATAAATGACATTGGGATGTTGTTATCAATCTTTACCAATAACCACATAAACTTCTGCCTGGCTATAGGAAAATATTTCCCACTGGAAAAGATATTTACAGCCCTGTATCTTTGTTTCTGTTTAGAACTGGTAGATATTAGTCTCACAGTGCATAATGCTTGACTTTGTTTTAGGCTTTTGGACTCCGTTAGCTGCATTTACAGGAAGGAAAGAATGTCATTACAAGAAGAGCTGGTTCCTAGCCCTGTCATCCATAAGGAAAAGAAAAAGGTAAGCAGTAACATTCTAATAATTAACACAACTATATTTACGACTGAAGGTATATGGTACTGTTTTCTGGCATTCCAGAGTATATTCAGCTCCGTTATAAAAGATTTTACTAGCAGTAAAGAAAAGCATCTGCCCCTCATGGGAAATGAAGATCCCAAAGAAAGCATACGGGAGCTCTCAGCAGTATTCTCAAATGCAAACTTTGAATGTAATGATAATGATGATAAACCAACAGTGGATGAAAGTCAGCTTGAATTAAACATAGGTATAACAATGCCACATATATGTGCTTCAAAACATCTGCTTAAAAGAAAAATGAAATTTCTCTTTTATGCCAATGTCTTCATGTTGTCTACTTTTTATTGGTGATCTGACTCTGCTAGCCTGAAAGCTGTATGCTGCAAACATGACTAAAATTACAATACTAGATTAGTTTGATTCCTGAGGCAGTTCATATGGAGTATTTTCTAAAATATGAATTGAAGTAACCAAATTGAGGTGTCTCTTTTCTTCCCATTTAGATGACATTGACCTAGATGATCATGGAGAAAAACGCAAAGAACAAAGCATATTGGGAGCTCTTAACAAGAAGAAATTGGCTGGCAAATTTCAGTCTCTAAAAGGTTTGTGACAGTTCAATTTTAGGCAAATTGATTTTCCTTGTGTTTCATAATTTGACCTAAGAAATTAACACTTGAACTACTGTGGATGGGATGTAACATAAGCTACTATAAGGGATTTATACAGATGTCAGAGCCTCATGATCGCAGGTGTTTTTTCATTTGGTTTGTGGAAAAATAAAAACTAGAGCTAACTCTGTTGTGTAAAGATGCTTTGGGCAATATCCATAATGGAAAGCTGAAAAATGTAATACCCCAATACGCTATAATATGTCAAGGTATGCTAATATAATTCTAGCACATGTTTAATGCAAGAATTATATAATCAAATGGTGTTTCCTTGCATTTTATGCTCCTCCCCTTCAGTTTAGTTTATCTTATACTTTGAGTAAGAATATGTTCATAATAGAGACAATAGGAAATGAAAAAAAACCTTTACAAGTGTATATTAGAAGAAAAAATAAAAAAGGGTTAAAATTGAAATTAGTGGGTGTTCTTGGTAGGAGGTTATTTCTGTTATCGTAGGATGAAGAATAAATAGGTCATTTGCTGTATGTAGGAGTAGGAGGTACTTTTAGACAGAAAAAAAGTCAATACTGGGTATTACCAGTGTGAAAAGAAGAGTGCTCCTTTTGGGGGTAATTTTGTTTACCTTTTTATTGTTGTACTTTCAGAAGGTTAGTGAAACAATATAGAGGTATTTTTTTAATATATTGTTTACTGCTGCGTGGGTGAGTGGTCAAGATTTTCATATTAATTGGTGAGGGCAGGGAGTTCCTAATAGAATATCCTCCACTTAAATTGGTATTCTCCCAAAAAAATATTACAAATTGAGGTTTGACATTTTTCACCTTTTCATTAGGTAGTCTCCCAACTCCCAAGGCTTCTATAATTTTCCTTCAGGGTTGTTTGCTTTTGTTGTTTTCTATCATGTAGACACCGTCCGCCAACAAGCAAATACAACTGTTGCAGGCATTTGAAGTGGAAAGGAGGTTTATATCACAATGAATAAAATTTTACTCATTTGTTTTCCATCTTGCTACTTTTCTACTAATTTGTACTACTAATTTTTTTTATGAAATTACCTTTCTATAACTAAGCAACTCTGGCAACTAAAATTGCCTTCCTAGAATTTAGTAATCTACAATGGGTGACCAGACAGAAACACGGTGCATTTTAAGAATTTTTAATCTCTTTGAAAGTCTTTTTTTGGACTAAATATAATTACAGGGTTTTCCTAATCGCTAGCTAATTATTGAGCGTTCCAAATACAGGAAAATTGAAAGAAATGAAGGGAAACTACCAGAAGGAATCAGATAAGGAAGGGCACAATGAGGAAAAAGATGGGGCGCTTGATCAAATTAAGAAGAAATATGGATTTTCATCTTCCTCCAATGTAAGAATATATCTAACATATATGCATTCTAATATTGCTTGACTTTTCTACCAAATCAATGCAAATCAAAGCATGCTATGTGCTGATTTACAATTAAAAGGTGTTTGCCTACGCCCGCATTGTTAAATTCTAATTTGGAAGTGTTAAGTGCATTTGTTTATGTAAACTTAGTTTAAGATCAAGATTGATCTACCAAGAAGCTTTAATCTACAAATTATTACTTACCCATTAGAGATTTCCAATCAGTTGTGAATTTAAACATAGTAGCATGGGTCCAATAGCAGTTGATTTCAAGATAATTGATAGTCTCACGAATCATACTGAATTAATATTCTTGATTCTTTCTCATGTACATTATAGATTTAGTCACATCTACATGAATACTAAAAGTTGACAGTAGTTATCTTCCAGTACTTTTGTGACTTGAATTTCTGGGGTTGGGTAAAAGTTTTGAATCTTCATTTACGCATTAAGTAATTACGCAACTCTCATACTAAACATTGTAAAAACTTAAAAATTGTCTCAAATTTCAGTTTGAATAAGGTAGTAAAAAATTTGTAGAGACAATGTTGCAGAGATTTCTTGTATGATACCTTAGTTTGAAACTTTAGACTATTTGTAATGAAAGCAGGTCAAAGGAGAATCGTAATAGACGATGAATAAGATGGATGAAGGAAGAAGATTGCTTTACAGCTACAGCAACTACAAAGACGCTAAGGAAGAAGAAACAGAATGCAACCATACCCTCTTTCCTCTTCTCAGATACTATATAATTAATTGTTACATCAAGTAGTCTTCCATATGTGAATTGGTCCTCCTCTTTCTTGCACTTTTTCTGCTGCCCACACCAACATGATAACTTGACATGTGTCAATTCTCCTCAACATAATTATTCTCAATCTCACCCATTTCCTAAATTGCCCCAGTGCTATTTCCACTTGTGACATTTACTCCATTAAAAACAACCTTGTCCTCAATGTTGAAGACCGTATAAGCTTGTTGCATATAGGTAAGTTCTTTTGAAATAGCATATATTATACCAATGCCTTCCCAATGTACCAAAAGTTGAGGAATATGTCCCTTGAGAATAGTTTAGTTGCAAAATCTCTTGTGGCTATAATATAGGACCATTGTCATTACTAACTAGAGGAAGTGGAATATATAATTGCTGATGAACACCTTGGCATGGCTTCAATTGTGAAACATGAAAAACAAGATGAATTTGTGTGACGTAGTTTATTGTCTAGGCAAGTATTTTTCTTCAAAAAGCTTAGCCAATAAAACATGTAACAAGAAGGTTGGTTTTGAACAATAACATCTTTGCGAATCTCAATCATAAGGCCATTGAAGAAACAATAAACTAAAGCATCTGCAGTAATGCCTTGAACACGATTGGCCAAGCCCATCAATTCTTGATAGTAATCCTAAACCAATCCTGTTCGCATTAGTTTAAAAAGGGTAGAACGGGGACTCCCATAAGGATATGGACTAAATTCCAATTCTAGGGATTGAGTGAACCCAATCCATGATTGAAATGGATTGTTCTTGGCCATTATTTGGAACCCAATCCATGTTGTAATGATAAGACATTGCTCCTCTAGGGTATTATATAACACGAAAAATTATTCTTCCTTAAAAATCAATTCTAGCATTGAAATGTGGAAAATCCAATTTAACATTACGAACCTGAAACAATGCACAAGACTTGGTGACACAACAACTATCTACAATGATGTAACTCCAACTTCAAGGTTCTCAAAATGAGTATTATAGTTTGCATGTTGAGATTCCATCAATTCTAAAATTCGTTTAACATTCAAGGAGAGCTCCTTAAATCTAGTGTTTTCAGCCATGAGTGGGAATGAGTCAAGATGAAAACACCAATGTGATAAAAGTAGGTCAAAGAAGAATTGTAATAAGGGGCAATGAATATGATGGATGAATCTCTATTATGGGCTCATTACAATGAAGAAAAGAAGATTGTTGTACAACTATAGGAACTGTAGAGACAATAAGGAAGAAGAAACAAAATGCACCAATACCCATACCCTCTTTCCTCTTCTCAGATACTATATAACTAATTACTACATCACATAATCTTCCATACGTGGTCCTCCTCATTCTTCATTTTTTCTACTGCCCATACCCACATGATAACTTGAAACATGTCCATTATCCTTAACAAAATTATTCTTCATCGTGTCCATTTCCTGAATTGTCCTAGTACTATTTCCACTTGTGACACTATCTTTGGTTATTGTAATAAGGGACAATGAATAAGACGAATGAATCTCTATATGTATTATGGGTTCATTACAATGAAAGAAGAAGGTTGTTATTCAGCTATAGCTAAAGACACTAAGGAAGAAGAAATAGAATGCAACAATACTCATACCCTCTTTCCTCTTCTCAGATGTTATAAAACTAATTACTACATCATGTAATCTTCCACACATGAATCAGTCCTCCTCATTCTTGCATTTTTCCTACTGACATACTCATATGATAACTTGACATGTGTCCATTATCCCTAACAAAATTATTCTCCATCACGTCCATTTTTTGAATTGCCCAAGTGCTATTTCCGCTTGTGACACTATCTTTGATAATTATGAACATAGTTTGATTCTGCATGTTTAATAAAATATTTATCAATGAACTTACTGAATATTAAAGTTATATTATTTATCATCAAATTTTAGGGCTTAATGGCTTTATACACAAGATATTCTTAGTTTAAGCAAAAAAGGTTACACGATAAATGCAATGTTGATCATTTCATAATTAGACAGTTTCTCTATATATTTAAAGCTTTGTTTTTCTTACTGCTGAAATATGAGTGCAAAAATTAATCAATCATTAATCTGGTGCTACAGGAATCAACCGTTTCTAAACAGACACAAATCAAGCTGCATGAAAAGACATGGAAATTGCAGGTATCTTTTACCTTGACAAAAACTATAAAACAGTGATGCTATGTCCATGTACCCAAGAAAAATTGGGAAAACAAAATCCAGAACTTACTTGTTCACTCATCTTCTAACTGGGTGGCAGGGTACCAACCTTCGTGCCACAGAGATCCAAGATACAGCAAAATCATTTTCATCACTGGCAAAACAAGTTCTCCGAACTGCTGAGCAGGATAGACGAAGTTGATAAGATATTAGTGAATTGATTATATTTAGGTCATACATAATTTTATTTTTTAATTGCACATATATTCTTTTTAATAATTGTTATACATCGGTTTGTACACAATTATGTTGAATTCATGCTTCATTTTACAGTGACAGCAGCACTATTATGCTATCTGAATACTCTTCTGTTGGATTGACACGGTGTTTAAATGTGATCATGTATTATATGGATTTAGATATTCAGTTTCTTCTCTACCTTTACCCGCAAAAGATATTGGCCTCAGTAGAGAAAAGGGGTGGTAAAACCATCGATGTATCTGTGATCCATCTAATTCATTCATATTATAGTCATTACAAAAGGACAATCATGCAGATAAGTTATGCATAACTCTAGTAAATCTCAAACCACTAAAAACGTCCTCCATGCCTTGCTTAAGGCTCAACTAAGATTTGCACTTTTTTCCCCACCCTTGGTAGTGTCAACTCATCATAATTCGTTTAAAGGGAAAATCTGCATGGTGAGTTCAGACCACAAACTTGCAATGACTAGTGTTTTATCAACAGATCCTCCATCAGTGACTGTATCTGTTCTCTAACAGCATCTCTGTTACCAAAGTTCAATGTGAAACAAGTTGTCCCTGCATGATTCCTCAACCTTGCAACTGCAGAAATTGACAACAGTATTCATCACAAGTTCAGCAAAACAATTAACCAGAGAATTGCAACAAAATCCTTTACATCTATATTTTCAACAGATCTTTGAGCTTCACGCCAAAAAGGCCTTGCTACAGATTCTACCCTATCTTGTTTATTTTAAGAATCAAAGAAAGGAAATTTGTTCCTACTATTGTTCAGAAAGAAACAAGAAACATTTGAGTAATGGGGACATGTAAAATAGGAAAAAAAAAATTACCTTCCGGTATGTCCCTGCCAAATTTTGGAACTGGAATGGAAGCCAAAACTGGGATATTTGACTCCAAAACTTTTAGAACTGCAGGGAAGAATGACGAACTGAATAACTCCATCTTACCAACTTCGTCAATGATGAAGAGGTTGGTGTCTTCTCTAACCTACTCATTCAATGCAAGTCTTAAAAACTGATCTAATACATGGGATAAGGCAGAATAATACATTCAACTTGTATGGCAGATAAATCTACATTCAGTTATAACCCCCGCCAATAGATAAAAAATGCAAGGGAACAGTTGATGAGTATAATGCAAGATTTAGAAGATGCGTGTAAAAATGATCATATAGTTGGCAAAATATGTATAATCTGCTGCAAAGAAGAAAAGCATACAGAAATGATATTAAAGAAAGGAAGCAGACCTGTAACTCGGGCAGTGCTAGTGACTCGAAAGATGCTACATCAACTTTATACTTTCCAACACTAGGCCATCTGAGAGACTCAGGGCTGCCAAATCCAATGCCATCAAATAACACCATTGAATCATATAGGCAGAGTTGTGTTGTGACAAATACTAGTCAATGCTATGTTATGTTATAGGTGGGATTTAAAAAGAAAAGCAATTTGAACATACCATCTGTTATTCCTTAAAATTTATTTCACCTTAATTTAAGGATTCTTCCAGATGTTGTAGTTACCAATAATTTTTAAACATAGTTAGTTAGCTAGTAGAAAAAGTGTCTTAAGGATGTAGTGTTAGTAGTACTCATCTTACACGAAAAGACCCTTCCTTCAAAAATGAATGAAGACCCTGACCAAGAAACACAAATTTCGAAATTTTGGGTCCTAACAAAGAAATTGGGATGTTGATGTTGTGGAGCTAAAAAAAGGAAGAATAAAAACTGTACCTTGAAAAGTCGAGAGAAGCAAGTGGTGCAGTGCGACCATCGAGAGTGACCACTTCAAAACCAACCCTTTGGCCTGCGCGCCTTACTTCCCCTACAAAAGAAGCAACATTTTGGGAATAGATATGATCATGTCATGTGTTACAGTGAAAGACGAGGAAGATGTCATATGATATGCTTACGAGTGTAGAATCCCTGAAGCTTGAGGGAGGGATTGATTCTGAGGGACTCCAACACTCTCATAATAAGAGTGCTTTTCCCCACACCCTGATCAGATCAATCACTGAAATCATAATCGATTAACAGAAATTGAAGAAGGAGGGTGGAGTTGGATTTACTCACCGGAGGACCCGTCACCAGGAAGCATTTGCCAGGACCAGCCATGCTTTCTCTCTGTTTCTGCCTATTCAGATTTCTATGTGCAACCGTCACAAATCAAAATTTCTTTCTTTTTTACCATCAATAGTTAAATATTTTCAAATTACTATGTATTTTTTATTACTAATTTTCAATTATAAATCATTATTGACATTACTTGTTAAAGTAATTATCATAAAAGTCAATTAATTTATTATTATAGTTTATGATTGGATATAATAATGTAAATTTGCATTGAGAATACATAAACTTTTGCTCATACTTGACTTTTATAATTAATATTGTTATAACTTAATTGTGAGGTTTGGAAGTCTTTCTAAGAGCACTCCAAATCATCCCCATAATTAAAAGTAACAAAAGTAAACTATAATTATATGTTCAAATTCTTTGTAAAAGTTAAATATATAAATTAGATATTGAAATCAATTCCAATAATTGAATTTATAATTTAAAATGAATTTAATGAAAATGTAATACAAAATGTTTGTCATGTTATTATTCAATCATAAATTAGTATCAACGAGGATGCTCTCCCATGAGATTGGATGGTTTGGAGAACAATTCTCATGCTTTAGGATAAATTTTTTTTAATTACATGTAATTTTTTTTACTACGAACATTGAAACTTTTTTCTAAGTTTTTAACAGAACTGAATATCTCAGAATTTAAAATTACCAATTAAATTAAAATTACTAGTTAAACCAAAATAATCCTTCCCTAATTAAACAATGCACTTGCTAGTATATTTAAGATTCACATGCATCAACTGGGAAATGACAAAAAAAAAAAAAGTTAGAATAATAATTGGGCCTAATGGGCTGAATCGATGATATAGGAAAGCCTATAAGTTGGCCAGTTTTTCTATTTTCCCCGGTAAATCAGAAAGTGAAAAACAGAAAGAAACTAAACGCAGCGTTGGAATCGAACCGGGGAAGGGAGTGAATGATGGAAGAGGAAGGAAGCCATGGACGTGAAAGGTCATTAGCAGCACCTCTCATATTTCTGATCGTTGCTACTTTTCAATTTGCATACTATTGCCTTGATCACATTTCCAAGGTATCATTCTATTTATTGTTATTTAATTGAAATTTGAAACAAAAACAATGTTATTACCCATTCTCACGATTAAGCTTATAAAACAAAATGTTGAATACAATCCATGATCATGATAAACTAATCAAATGATTGATTGATGATGAAATTTCGTTCCTTTACCAGATAAGAAATTGTATATGTATCTTTATTATTTATGAGAAAGAAAACCTTGTAGCATTAACATCTAGGCATATGATTTTCCTGCAGAGTGAATCCGAAAGAAAGAAAGAAGCTCAGTTGCGTGCAGAAATAAAACAACTTTTGAAGGAGGCAAGTTTAATGTCGCAGTAAGTAAGGATTTAACCAATTTTTCCTAAATGAAAGGGGATCCTCTTTTGGAACCCCATTTTGGTTTTGAGTTGATGGTATCGTTTTCGTCGGTGAAGCATTTTGCAATGTTTATATTTGGGGTTGATAATTTGAAATTAAAGGGTAAATCTACAAATTTGTGTACAGTCCACTGTAACAAGTGTTACAGAATTTTGGCAGTAAAATTACATGCTAAATAAAAGAGACGTACCCATGCTCACTAAAATATTAAATTAATTTCAATTTTTTTAAAAATCAAGTTAATAAGAAATATTTAGCATTATTTAGACTAGTAGAACAAAGTAGCAAAGACAATGCCAAATATGAAACTATAAGTAAATTCAAATAGAGAAATCAGGTTGATAGGAGGATAAAAAATAAAATCGCACGAGTGCAAATCACTGAGAAGAGAGATGACTGTAAGATATGATTGCAAAATTTATGGTGTGGTGTGTGTCTCTTTATCCTCTCAGGCCATCAACATTTGCACAAGCAGCAAAACTCAAAAGGCTGGCAACTGCCAAGGAGAAGGAACTTTCAAAGTGTGAGTTTATTTCTTGTTGCATTTTTTTTTTACTTTTCCTATTCTATCCTGTGCAATGAAGATTTTATTAAGAAAAACCAATAATTGTCATCTCTCTCATATTAATAAAAACTGCTCTGCAGCACTGCATAACTGTTTAATATGGCTTTACTTAAGTCGTAACTTTTGACCCATCATTGCTCCAACTTTCCAATTCATGCCTCTCTTAGTTTACTTACTATAATGAGTTTTCTACATTTATTTAATGATTCATTTCGTAGAATTTGCTTATAAGAGCACGTTGCTTAGTGTGTCAATTTGATGGTGATTGAACTACAAGTGTGATAAAAGGTATTATAGGAGTGTATGTTAGGGACCTATATAAAATAAGTTTGAATCAAACTAATAGAATCCTTTAGATATTGTTAGAAATAACTAAATATATGGGTCTATGTTTTACATGATTCTTATCTCATCAACTGCATGCCTTTCCATCCTGACGGGTAAAATCTTTCACCAAGTTTTATATCCTTATTACTCTTTTCGTCCTTTAACCCCCCCACCCTTGAGTATTTGGTTCCACATGTTTTGCCCATGTCCTTATAATAACATTGTCCAATTCTCTCCTCGGTCTCATAAGTGTGTTTTCCTTAGATACTCATGATCCTTAAGACAAATGTTATTTGCCGTCTCTTTGCAGGTTTTTTATCTCTACTGATGTGACTTTCTTTAAAATTATTCCATTTTTGGGCCTAAATAATCGGTATTTGAGACTACTTCTTCCACACCTGCGCCTATTCCATCCCTTTTTGGTCTTACATAGGAGTCTCCATCCCCTCTTGATCCATCTCCTTTATCCTTAGAAGTTTATTAATGTCGTACTCATCCTATAATGTTATCACCTAAAACCAATCCCACCACCAACTCACCTCTAGCACCACCTCATCCTTCGGTTTTAAGTATAAATTTTCCATTGCACTTTGAAGAGGTATATGTTTTACTTGTAATCCTTCTCCTTGGTATACTTTTTGAGTAGTTCTCGTTCCTAATATTTTTGTCTTTCTTCCTTGCCCTCTATTTGTGCTCTTAAAAATGTAGGTAAGCCTTTGCCCATCTAAGATAGATAAGATGTGTGCATTACAAAATATTGGAACTTGAGACCTTGTTCCTTTACCATTAGGGATGTTTGTTGTTGGTTGTCAATGGGTGTGCACAGTCGAAGTTGGTCCAAATTTTCAAAGTTGATCGGTTCAAGACTTGTCTTGTTGCAAAAGGTTATACTTAGATCTGTGGGTGTGATTATGGGGATACTTTCTCTCTAGTTGTCAAAATGCCTTATGTGTGACTATTTTTATCCAAAACTGTCTTTAGTCATTGACCTATATATCAGTTAGACATAAAGAATGCTTTTCTACATAGTGATATGCTCAAAGAAGTCTACATAGAGCAACTTCTTTGCTTTTTTGTTGCTTAGGGGAAGTCTTTATGCCCTATATGTTAATTGTGAAAATATTTATATGGCCTCAAACAATTACTCAAAGCATGGTTCGGGAGATTTAGTATTGTGATTCTATAGTTTGGTATGACTTGGAGGGAGGTTGACCATTCTGTCTTTTAGCGTCACTCACATGTTGGTATCACACAGGTGAAACCACATCTTTTCAAGCATTTTCATACAAAAGATCTTGACAAACTAACATGTTTCTTTTAGACAAAGGTAGCATAGTTCGAAAATGGCATCATCATATCCCAAAGGAAATATGCTAGGAATATTCTAATAGAGATGGGAATGTTAAATTCTAATATAGTTAACACTTCAATGGATCCCAATGTTAAATTTTGACCAAATCAGGTGGCATCTCTTATAGATTGGGAAAGGTATAAGCGATTGGAAGGAAAGTTGAACTACCTTACTGTTACCTATATGAGTATTTCATTCACAATAAGTGTAGTAAGTCAATTCTTGAACCCTCCATGTAAGGGATATTGGAACTTAAGGACTTGCAGTTTTTGATACATCAAAAGAGCTCTAGGAAAAGTCTTTTGTATGAAGATAAAAGACACATTTTGTGGGGTATTCTGATGCATATTAGACAAATTGCCCTATTAATAGAAGATCCACCTTTGATTTTTATATATTTGTCGAAGATAATCTTGTCTCTTGAAAAAGCAAGAAACAAAGTATTGTAGCTAGGTCTAGTGTAGAGACAAGGTATCGAGTTATGGTTGTAGCCAATTAGGAGCTTATATAACTCAAACACTTGCTTCAAGAATAAGTTTAGGGAGGTTATACAATTATCACTTATATGTTACATATTGAAAGGATGAAACATATTAAAGTTGATTGTCACTTTGTTAGAGAGAAAGGCATGTCCTAAGAACTATCTACTAGTTTTGTCAATTCTCATGATCAATTAGCATATATATTTACTAAATCACTAAGGAGTCTTTGGATTATCTACATATGTTACAAGCTTGGTGTATATGACATGTATGTTCTAACTGGAGGGGAGTGTTAGAATTCTTTAGATACTTTAGAATCCTCTCGATATAATATGAGGATCTAATCATGTTAGGATCAAATGATGATATTAGAATCGATTAGATTGATTCTATATTTATGTTATTAGTTTAAAATTGTGAATATTCCATAATTGTATTATAATTATACACTCGAGATTAAATTCGTTGTGCTCTAAACTCACGAAATTTATGCGTTTTTTGTTTTTGTCTTCTCAACATCAAACATTTAATCCTTATATTTCTTAGATGCAAGGCCATAAATGTTAGGCAACCTGATTCCCATTTTTAATTGTACATTGTTTGTTCTAAGAATATTACACAAATAATATTACTTAATGACATTTTCCCCTACATGAATATGGTTTTCATCGACATTTTCATTTCCTATATTTTATATTAATGGCTTTTTTAATTTAAATTCATTTTCTTACCTTTGAGTTCGTTAAGTTATAGTTCAAAAGATTATGCAGACCAAAATTCAAGTCACAAAGATAATACTGTATATACGAAAGTGCTGCTGATATTTAAGGTATCTTCATATTTGTATATATGTATGCATATTTTTTTCTACCGAAATTTCTTTATAGAACTTCTTTTTGGCTTTGCCGTGTAGTATTTAACATATGGAGTGCTGCTTATCTGGTTTTGGCGTGTTCCTGTTGCCAGCGTATCTCAGCAACTTGTGCAACCGTTTGGTAATGCGAATAAATAATAGTTTAATTTTTACTGAGTTGCACATTTATCCCTTTCACTTATATTGACAAAATCTGCTAGATTTTCTAGCATTGCGATACAAAAGCAGTTTTTATTTTTAACTTTTGAATTTCTAATCCTAATGACATCCGTAATTCTAATTGTTTTTTGGAGAAAGAAAATAACGAATTTTGTATTGACTTCTGAACGTATTTTACTCTCTTTGTAGGGAGGTTGCTATCTTGGAAGTCCGGAGGAGTTCAAAATAACAGTGTCCAGGTAAGTGTTGCTTCTACCTCTTTCCCTTTCATGGTAATGTTTTTATTTATTTATTTTCCTTCAACTTTGAGGAATCTTTGAGTTGGGTGTCAAAGACTAATCACTCTTATGAGTTGAAATAAAAATAGGTCAGCTTAACACAATTTATTTTTTAGTGAATAAAAACTTTTGCAACTTAATTCAACATATCATAAATTATGAGTTAAAATGGATTCATTTACTTAAATATATATCTTATTTAAAAAAATTTTAAATCATTAAAATAGGTTAATTAAGTGGATTAACTCATTAAAATATTTTTTTACATGAATTAATATTTACACGTGAGTGAAAAAAAAACAAGCAAATCACAAGACAATTTATTATCAACTTGTTTCGAATAAGTTTAACTTAACATGAAAGTTAAAGTCAAACTCATTTTGACTCATTAAAATTTTAAAATCTTTCTAACTTAATTCGACTTAAATTCGTTATGAGTGGAGTTAGCTTACCGATTGTAATTCGAATTGAAATCCTTGGTAATTTTTTAAAATATATTTAATTACTATTAACATAAAGTCGAAGTGTTACTAAAAAATAATTAACCTTTGTGCAAGATTCGTATACCATTTTAATTAAAGAATATTGTTGTTTGATAGTAAAATATGATATAATAACTACATATCTTGTTGTAATATTGCGTATTCTATTTTGTTGTTTGAAGGGATCAAAATTATGAAAAAAAGAGAGAAGATAAGACAGTCTCTCCTATTCGTTTGGAACTATTTTCAAATTTTTTTTATGTGTATATGATTTTAAGATTTTACTCATTTTTATGTATTGTATAATGTAAAAAAAAAAAAAAATCTTAGAGGTATTTTAAAACTAATAAAAGTATAAAATATGGAATAAAAAATTAATGATTGAAATTATTAAGTATCTTCTTAAGATTTCACTCATTAATATTTTTTAATGAATAAATATTATCATATTCTATTCTCCAAAGCATTCCTTATATTAAAGGATTCAAGTGTAATACTTCAATCACACTACACTATGCATCTCTCTGGAATAAATTGGTAAATTCTGGTAATTGTCTGTAGAGTTCATTTTTTTATGGAATAATTGACTTTTTATTTTATTTTTTTATCATTGCAGATTGGGGTAATATCTTGGTTAGTAGTATCAGCTAGAGTTTGCAGATTTGTCCGTCGAGCTTATAGCAAATAAATAATGCCATTTTGGATACTTTTTATAGTGTGCCCATCGTAAAAGTAAAAAATCCGGAGGCGCTTCAAATATTGGTTTTAAAGTAGAATGAAGATGTTACAATTGTAAGAAAATTGGTCTTCTATTTCTCATGTCAATCTTCTGGATCGTTGATTCGGTTGTAGGTAGCTTGTAAGTATGTCAATAAGTGTATGGATATAGACTACGTTTGAAATGTTGTTGTAATGAGCTAATAATACTATATATTCATCATTTCATGTTCTCTGTAAACTGGACTTGTTGGACAATCCTTTTGTGAACGAACAACGATGTATGGTAATAGGAACTTCTATACTCTGAAAACTTTTTAGTCCCACCATTATTTCCATGATTATATCATTATACTTAGTATTTTTCATTTTATACAATTAACAGTTAATTTCTGTCAAAAAATTTAATAAACAGTTTTTAATAAAATATCTATTCTTAATTGTATGTTTTTTCATTTGTAAGGTTTGAATCAATTCAATACAAAACTTGAACATAAGATTTTACCAAAGAAATCCCAATTTAATTTTATTCAAACTACTAATTTATGTGACACCATTAAACTTGGTATAAGATAGATTTTGATCCAGTTCTCGGGTCCACCAGTCACATGATCCGCAAGTCGTAGTGAAATCTGAATTTGGAGTATAATCAAGGTGAAATACTCGAATCCAATTTGCTGAGACATCATAAACTAATACAAAATCTATCTTTCACTTTTCCATCTCAAAACACTCAACCAAATGTATAATTTATTGAGAATTATCGAGTCAAAATCATTTGCAAGATAGCATTTTCACCATGATGAATCAAATTGAAATTTGATAATGTTAACCTTTCTTAGAATTAAGGTATCCAACATAGGAGATATAAACCTTCTCTTTTGGCTAAATTAGAGTATTTCTTGATCAAGAGTGAAAATTATTCTTTGAACTTCTCAAGTCTATTTTCGATAGAGTTAATTTTTCTTTTACAGTTTGTGAAATCTTTTAAAAAAAAAAATTATTTTGATAATTTTTTATTCTTATACACAAGGACAACAAATAAAACCCTTAAAAGTAACCAAAACCTTAAACCTTTGAGTTAGGTGATCTCAACAACAGTCAAACTAAAACCACTTTTTCTCCCACGACACAGACAGCGATTAGCCTGCACGCGCCGTCGTCGTCGCTATGAGCGAATCGCAAGAGCCCTCCTACCCTCCCATTGACCCCGTCAACTTCGATCTTATCATCGTCGGCACCGGCCTATCAGAATCCGTCATCGCTGCGGCTGCATCCGCCGCCGGCAAAACCATCCTCCACCTCGACCCCAACTTCTTCTATGGGAGCCACTTCGCCTCTCTCTCCTTTCTCGACCTCACTACCTACCTCACTTCCCCCAACCCTCTCCCCGCCGCCGTCACAACCACCGACTCCGACGACGTCGTTGTCGACCTCCTTCACCAACCCCTCTGCTCCAACGTGGAAATCGTGTCCTATGATGAATCCTCGTTCCTCCTCGAAAATTCGAGAAAATTCAACATCGATTTGGGAGGTCCTAGGGCGCTGTTCAGCGCGGACAAGACGATCGATCTGCTACTGAAATCGGGCGCAGCGCAGTATTTGGAGTTCAAAGGAATCGATGAAAGCTTCGTGTACGAAGCGAATGGGGGTTTGGCGAACGTGCCGGATTCTCGCGGAGCGATTTTCAGAGACAAGAAGCTTTCACTCAAGGAGAAGAACCAGTTAATGAGGTTCTTCAAGCTGGTGCAACAGCACTTGGATGATACTCAGGAGGAGAAAATTTCGGAGGAGGATCTGGAGATTCCATTTGTTAGTTTCTTGGAGAAAATGAATTTACCGCCGAAGATAAAATCGTATTCACCATTTCTGTTTGCTAGTGAGAATTGTTTTTCATTCATATCTGCACAGCATTGAAATATTTCTTCAGCATAGGGGATTTGTTTATTTAGCCTTTCATTGTGTGTGCCCTATTTGATTCAGAACACTTTCAAGTGGCATTGTAGATTTTTGTTAAAGTATTTACATTATGATAAAATGTATGTCTTCAGATCAGAAGATAAGGGTGTTTTGTTAGCCTGTAATTACCATCATAGTGGAGATGAAAGTGTCTTCACTTCTAGATTACACTCAACACCAGTTCTTTAGCATTTTAACAATAGCCAAGACAAAAGTTGGAGAAACTGCTCTGCCTGTTGTTTCTTGCTTGATAGTGGAATTATTAGTTTCTTTCTAGTTTGTTATTTTATCGCCTAGTTTTAAGTTTCATAGTCATTCTCAGGTGGGAATTGGAGTGGGAATTTTAGGTGTTGTGCTATATGAAAATCAGCATTGAATCACAAGAGGAAGTGGCTTACACTGAAGAATGGTGTAATAGATTATTTTATACACTTGTGATATATTTTCGCTAGGAATTCAAGTGTCTGGATTATATTAATTGTCTCTCTCCATGAAGTTGTTGCTTTTTATGTTTTATGTAAGTGAAATCTGGTCATTGGATATTAACATAGTTGAAATCTTAAAATGTTTGGTATTGCTATGTTTGTTTGATTGCTTTAGCCGCATTAGCTATACTATTTTTATTTTGGCAAACTGAAGCTGATCATCTTCTTGTGTGATGAAGAGAACTATTTCCTTCATATTTCATTGACTCATATTAGTAAAGTATGTCAACTCAACAATGCAAGCATAACCTGTTGAACTGCTTCAGTGTGCTAAGGTAAAGTCTTTTTGTCTTCCACAGGATTCTTTTGTATGCTATAGCCATGGTAGATTATGATCAAGACAATCACGAGATTTCTAAAGATTTGCTTAAAACAAAAGATGGAATAGATTGTTTAGCTCAATACAGCTCATCTGTTGGAAGGTATTTTTGCATTCTTATACTTTCTTGTATTACAATTTGCTTACTTTTCTTGTCATTTAAGGGCTATCCTTTAATGTTTCTTGTTGAGATACTTGTTTTATTTCACCCAGGTTTCCTAATGCCCCTGGGGCTATGCTTTATCCTATTTATGGTGAAGGAGAACTACCACAAGCCTTTTGTCGCCGAGCCGCTGTCAAAGGCTGCATTTATGTAAGTTACAATGGATTTATGGTACTATTACGAAAATTTTCTAGTTATTGTAACCTCTTTAAAGCTTACATTTCTGTTTAAAAACTTGTTTAATAAACAGAAAATAAGAACATTTTTTATACATTGATTCTAGATGTTAAGTGCATGTTGTCTGTTTCTCTTTCTTCTGTTTTTTACCCTGTTAAGTAAGTGCCATCATACCATTTGTTTGTGATGAGGACAGAAAAGAACTAGATAGGATTGAAAAATGAATAGAATTTATAAAGATAATTTTGAGATATTTTATAATACCGGTTTTCGAGAGTCTTTCTCTCGATAATACAATTCCTTTGTAATTTCCTTCGTGTCTTTCCTAATCTGGATTACTTCTATTTATATTGCTTCTAATAACCATTCCTAATTGATATAACTTTTCCTAATGGTTGTATCTCTATTCCAAGGATTATGCCCCTTGATTCGTATCCCTTGACTTTACACCCCTTGGATGGGTTGTAACTGTTGGATGTTTTGGATCCTTTGAGTGTTGTGTGCCCAGTTGCTAGTGGTCTAGGATTGTTGCTGTTTTTGTTTGTTTCTTGTGGGTGTATATCTTGGTGATAGGTGGTTTATTCTTATCAGTATGATAGAAGGAAACATGGTTCAGGTATCATGTTGTCGAGGACATTGGCATGTTTGGCTTTTCCTAGAGCTTTCTTTCTGAATGCCAGGATTGTAGCTGTGGGGATGGATTCAAATTTTGCTATAAGGATACTTGATTACACTATTGTTCAATTTAGTGAAACTATTATCTCTATGCTTTATTATCATAATTACGATTTACTTCTTTTGGATTAGGATGAAACTCCTCCATCTTTGTTCTCTTGATGTTAATATTTGGATGTATTATGATATTTTGTTGGCAAACTAAATAGCTTGTTAACTATTTTTCTGCTTGCTTGTTTTCAAAAATATTTTTGTTTATTGTTTTGTTGACCATATATGATTATTTACATTTTATACTTTTGTGATTCAGGTTCTAAGAATGCCAGTTGTTTCTCTGCTTATGGATAAGGTGCAGATATATATATATATATATATATATATATCTTTGATCTGTGTTTTCTAGTACTTTGTTGTGAGAAAAGATGCGGTTGAAGTCAAGTGCAAAAGGAATTTCATCTTTGTCATTTTTAAACCAACAATGCAGGTTACTGGGCTTTATAAAGGTGTTAGATTAGCTTCAAGTCAGGATTTATATAGCCACCAATTAATCCTGGACCCATCCCTCACAATTCCATCATCGTTGTCTCTGTCTCCAAGAGATTATCCCAGTGAAAGGCTCCAAATGTTGAGTCAGAGAGATATTAAAGGAATAGTGGCCAGGGGAATATGCATCACAAGAAGTTCAATAAAGCCAGATGTATCTAATTGCTCAGTGGTGTATCCTCCTAGATGTAAGAGAGATCTAAACGTTGCATTTGTAACTAGAGGCATATTAAAACAAGAGAAAGAAATTAACTTTTTCTCTATTTCCTTCCAGCTTTGTATCCAGAACAGGTGACATCAATCAAAGCTCTGCAGATAGGATCAAATCTTGCTGCTTGTCCTGCGGGAACGTAAGTTTTTTGCTAAATAAAATTTGAAATGTTCACTTTAACTTCTTTTTTTCTCAATCTCTGTTTCTCTTTTTTTTCTTCACTTCTCGTTTGTTTTATCACACTGTGTAAGTTGAAATTTGTTAGCACAAGGTATTTTGTAATGGCTCAAACACTTATCTAGCATTTTAGAATAATATAATACATCTGGTTTATAAATTTTGTCAGAACCCAAAATGTTTTTACCTTTTATGGGTCAAACCAGTGCAGAAGACCCACTGATTTTTTGTATTATAGCACAAATTACCCCCTAATAACATACACGATTAACAGCACTTAACACTATAATCCCCGACTTTAATTTATGCAAATTTGCTAAATGATGTGCACATGGCTAGTCTATCCAAGCATTCTAATTTCGTTGAAGCAAACTCCAAATTTCAATAACCAAATCACTACGAGGATGGCAGGGTGAGTAACCCCTTCACAATTACAACTTCCAACAAATCAGATTCTACATATTAAAACCTTGAAGCCTAATTAACATCAATCCATGATTGAACCTCCAAAGCTCTGCCTGAACAAAGGAGTAAACTCAATATTGTTGTCAAACCTCACATAAAATCTTCATTATTGTAATGTTTGTAAAAATCCCTTTTCAAGTAGTTTGCATTTTATTTTATCAAAAGGATGCATCCAAGACTTGGAAGAGGAAATATTTGACTTAAATAAAAATGAAGGACCCAAGAAACGAGCATGGACTTCACATTTCTATTGGTTGTGTTTTTGAAATTGTGCTTATTTTTATATGGATGAAGCTGTGGAATATTAAAAAGTAAAGAAAATGAGAACCATTTTGCATTTTTTGGTTGGGTGTGAGAAGTTAATATTGTATCTTTAACTATTTTTAAAATTTAATTGCTCCCATTCAGAAACATTTTGTTTGGGATTTTGCTGATAATTTGCAGGTTTCTTTTTATAGTCATTGTCACTTTTTCATTGATTACTGGCTTCAGGATAGTGACTATTACTCCCATGATTTACCTATAAAGTTATGCTCCGTGTGACTATATTCATATTCAACTACTAGTTATAACATTTATATTTCCCTTTGTGAACTTATGAGTTTAAACTGATGTTTTCCTTTTCTTTCTCAGCTTTATTTTATATTTTTCCACTTTGTGCAATGATGCCAATGAAGGAAAGAATCTACTAAAGGCCGCCATGAATGCTCTTCTCACATTGCCTGTATCCAGAAACACTGAAAGTATTTCAAGTGTTCAAAGTGACAGTGAAGATACTAAACCGATTGTGCTGTGGAGTGCGTTGTATATTCAGAAATTAATTACGGTGTGCTTCTAATTCTGACTTATTAACAGATTATTTTCTTCAACGGTTTTTTACTTTACCTGCATATTATTGCATGTGCACTTGTTTCCTTTACTGCGACACTCATTACTCATTTGAATTTGTTATTATCATTATGAAGGCTCTACCCTGATTCCCCTGTCTAATTTTTAAAAATATTTTTATTTTTTATATCTATAAAGTATTAGGGCCCTAAGGACCACATTTTCAAAGAACACAACCACTGTAACTAGGCAGTGTTTTTTAATTTGTCATGATTGTTTTTCAAAATTGTAACTTGTGTAACATTGACATGGACATAATTTTCTGACTATGAATATACTGTGATCTCCTTTTCAGAGTAAATTTGAATTTATCAGCTCCACTTCTACACCAGATGGAAATCTGAACTACAATGACCTTTTAGATGCGGCTGAGAAGGTTTGTCTTTTTATTCTTCATTTTGAAAATATAAATTTTTACAGTATTTCTGTCTGACTTCTTCTTGTCACTCAAATAGCTAGCTGCAAACCTTATTTTTGGACTAGTTGCTTGTCAATGAAAAGTTAACAAATTGGAAAAAGTGTGTGCACTTTTTCTTTGGACTAGCATACATTTGCTTTGTAAAGTGATTGCTTAAATACAAAAAATTTACAATCCTTGGTTGATAATTATTAGCCCTGTAACTGAGCATACTAGTTTGATGGTGGTATTCTCGCAGCTATTTGGACAGATGTACCCCAATGAAGAATTCTTTCCAAAGGTAACATCACCCGAAGATCCTACGGATGGGGATGATAATGGGTTAACTCTGGATAGCTAAATAAGGTCAAAATGGCTGAGCATTTCATGTCAGAACTGTAGGAGAAAGGATAACGAATTGAGGATGTGGATTAAAATTTGAAATTATGGAGGTAAACGGTTACAGTTCTTAATTTTATATGCACAAAAAACAAAAGAAAGTCCTCAAGGCTTGGAAAAGTACTGGTTAGTGATTCTGAAATTTTTTGCAAGGCATACACATACTGATTTGGTGCTAAATATCCACTTATGAGCATTTGTTGGACCAAGTTACCACTTGTTTAAGATGCGGAAAAGTGGTAGTTTCATGGGGTCGAAGCACAGAGCTATATCTTCATCTGTAATTTGTATTTTTAAACAATTTGATTGTATAAGATTGTATGAGTATAGAACGTATTTGAATTTGTTACAACTATTTCCTACATGAATATAACAATATTGTAGGTTGTACGAATTTTGCGAAAAAAAAAAGGTTGACTTTATCTTACAGAACAGAGAATCAAATGTTTAGTCCCTCGAGATACTGGACACAAACAGATCTGCAGTCAGAAAAGGTGACTGCTCAAATATTGTAACGGTCGTACTTTCCACAAAAAGAACTATGGATATACATATCTGATGTGTGTTCAGGTTACACAGATAGATCAGACAGTGGAGCAAGGTCCTGTGGTTGTAGCCCAGTGTATCTCTTAGAAATCACTCGAGAATGTGTTGATCAGTGTGACTCTACACGGCTTCAAAACACTAGTCATATGCTAAAATTAGGGTTGTTACACTGAGCAAACCGGCTTATATGATTGATTTACCAATGGTTGAAGAAAAATGGTGAACTCTGATTGACTTGATTGATATGAGGATGGTAGATTAGATGAATAAGTAAGTTGGTTCATTTAAGTACTTAGTATTTGTCTTAATTTTTTTATTTTTAGATCATTAACATATACGGATTGAGTGGGTTGTCTAACCAAAAAATTTATTTCTTCAAGGATTCCCACTTATATATAGATAAGTTAAATTAGATTATTAAAATGGAAAGATAAATGAGTTACATGATAATCCACCACAAATTTAACTTGAATCCATGTTGACTTGTGGTTTCAGTTGTCGTACTCGACCCTTGTGGTGAGATGGATTCTATCACATCTCTATTTCTAAGGAATAATGTAAAATTGTTTTCATCACATTGATTTAATTTTTTTCTATTAATTAAAATAATTTAAAAAAAATACAAGCGTCGTTCTTCTCATCTCATTGACATAATCATTTATCATATGTAAATAAGTGATAAAATAAAATATTTATAAGGCATCAATAAATAGTGGAGAATCTAAACCAAAGTAAAAATTACATTGAGGGGAAACAATCGAAGATGATATGAAAAAATTTACAAAGAGACAAAAAGTTATCTTAAGATATTTTAGTTACTTGAAATAATATTTTGTTAGAGAAATATTATGTGATATGAATTTTTTTATTATTGTTTTATCAAATAATTTATAAAAATAAATAAAACAAGGTAAATTAGAAAAAAAATCATTAAAATTTATTAAAATATTTTTATTGAAATAAAATTAATGAATTTAATATAATAAATCAATTACATTTGTCAAAATGAAAAAGACCTCATAAGAGCTTTCGGTTAGAGATGTCGTACATATTCTTAATTTAAAAAAAATGCACTCCAGTAATGGCAGTCATTAGTGTAAAACACATCTTATTGATCCTCATACCAACCAACTACTTCCTGGATCTTTCTTGGCACGAATTTTAGCCATTTTCTCCCTACATTTAAGAGCTTCTTCCCATTTTCCCCCTCCAATGTATAGGTTTGAAAGAAGGATGTACGAAGCATGATCACTGGGATTCAATTCTATCATCTTCATAGCAGATTTTTCTCCAATTTCTGCGTTATTATGATTCCTACAAGCACTTAGTAATGTTCTCCATGCTGATTCACTTCCATCCTTCTGCACTATTTGATAAGCTTCCTCTAGCCTTCCTGCCCGGCCATAGGCATCAACTAAGCATGAATAATGCTCAGATTCTGGCTTAATGTTGTATTTGTTAAGCATCAATGTAAAGAAATACAAAGTATCTTCTACATAACCTGAATGGCTACAAGCTGACAACAGAGCTAAGAAAGTTACGTTATTGGGGGTCAAACCATTCTTCTCTAGCTTGTTGAATACTTCTATGGCTTCTTGTGCTTTTCCATGATGAGCATATCCACAGACCACGGCATTATAAATTACTTCATTTGGCTCGACTTGTTCACCAAAAAATTTCTCCGACTCCTCCATGGTTCCACATTTAGCGTACATATCTATAATGGAACTTCCAATATATACATCACGGTTGTAACCAGACTTGATGGCGAAAACATGGAGTTGTTTACCCACTTGTATGGCTGAAAGTTGTGAGCAAGCTGAAATACACAATGGAAGGCTATAACTGGTAAAGGTGATTCCATCCGCCAGCATCTCTTTGCATAGCTTTAAAGCTTCTGATTCCATGCCATTTTGTTTATAAGTTCCAATAATAGAACTCCAAGAACCATCATCTTTCCGGACAATATCGGCAAAAGCTTTAAATGCGTTACCAATTTGTCCACACTCAGAGTACATGTGAACTAGTGCATTGCCAACCAAAGTATGATGACTCAAACTTGATTTTACTATAAGTGAATGAATCTGTCTACCTACAGGCAAATCTGATTTATTCTCACAAGACTTTAACACAACAACTAGTGTGACACCTTGAATTTGCAATGAGGTCGTTCTGCGAAGTTCTTGTAGTAGTTTCATAGAGGGACCAGATCCTCGCCCCGGCTGAGCTTGAGCCAGGATCATTGAGTTCCATGCTACAATATCTTTATCAGCAATTCTTCTAAACAACTTGTCCACATCCACAAGTTCACCGAAACTTGCATAGAGAGTCAACAGCACACTAGCTACAAAACAATCGCTTTGATACCCGGATTTTATCATTTGGCCATGCACTTGAACTCCAATGTTCAAGTCTTCCAGTTCAACACAAGCTTTCAAAGTGCTCGATAACACATGCTGATCTGGTCTAATCCTTTGTCTACACATGTCCTTGAAAAAGTCCACAGCTTCCTCCCCTCTATCATTCATGGTGTAGCCTGAAATGATAGAACTCCAAACAAAATTATCCTTCTCCTCCATGGAGTCAAAAACTTTCCTGCAAGAACTTACATCCCCACATTTGGCATACAAGTCAACCAGAGCACTGCCCACCACAACATCAACTTCAGCACCAAACTTAGATGCAAACCCATGGATTTGCTTTACGTCTTCCAAATAAGAACAGCACTTGAGTAAGCTAACAAAAGTACTATGATCAGGTTTCAATCCTTGGACCTCCCACATCTCAGAAAACAACCTATGAACCATGCTAAAGTCACCAACATGAGCAAATCCAGAAATCATAACATTCCATGCAACAAGGTCTTTCATCAACAAGTCATGAAAAGCACTGCATGCATCCCCGAGATTACTGCCACTGTTAAAGTACAAATGCACAATAGAGCTCCCAGCAAACCTGTCTCGCTCAAGCCCAGATCGAACTAGCAGACCATGAATCTGCAAACCCACCTCCCACAATGAAGGAGTAACACAAGCTCGAAGCAGAACAGAGAAGGTGTACTGATTGGGCCTCTCATTCGTTTGACGCATGTGATTGAACATCTCAAAGGCTTTTGAAAGTGACCCAGTTCGGAGATGCGATGAAATTAAGGTTGTCCAGGTGACAACATTCTTGTGATGCATGTGGTCGAACAGGAGGTGGGCATGGCGAAAGTGACCAAATTTGGAATACAGACTCAAGAGGGTGTTGGTTAAGTGGGTTTGTGAAATGCATTGGGAGACAACGAGCTTTGCGTGGATTTGGTTGCATTGTCTCAGCGTTGTGGGGTTTGAAGACTTTGCCAGTGACAGCAAAAATGGTTGAAGCACACCACACACTTTGTTTGCAACTTCTGGGTCAAACGCTGTGTGCCGGATCATTCCAATCCCCAGATCATTAAAACATGAACTACTGTAAGGGATTTACACCCATGATCGCTTGTGTTTTCTCATTTGTTTGTGGCAAATTGAAAACTAGAACTTCCGAGTTCATAACACAAAAGATTAAAATTTATATCCATCTTCCTGCTTTCCTGCTAATTTGTATTCCCAATTTAATATTTGAACAATTTGTTGCGAGGAGCTTATATTTCATCCTCTGTGAGTAATAATTTTAAGATTCTTTATTAAATCATGATAAGATAGTTGGTTTTTGAACGTGGTTTTTTCCCTAGTATTTTAATTACACATTTTATTTCCATGTGAATAATAAAAACAGGTATTTAATAGCCGTTTAAAAATTATCGACTTAAATTCATTCAAATTATAGGATAAAAATTATTTAGAACTTTAATTTAAAATAATTTGTTTAGTAATATAACAAGTTCATTTAAATTTTAAATTAAACGAAGGGATAAAAAATATCTTATTTAATTTAAGATAAATTACTTACTAACCTTTTTTTCAAATTTTTTTATCAGTTCATCAAAACAAATATATTTTGACGGCCTAAATATAAATAAAAATTTAGCATCAAATTGATAAATAAAACAAAATCTTATAATCATTTGAGATAAAAGAAAGAAAAAATCAGCCACTCTTATAATCATTTAGATCATTTTTTATAAATATTTATAGGAAGAAAAAGAAAAAAAATATAATATAAATTTGTTTATAAACTAATTTTATAGGTTTATAATAAGGTTGTTGATAAGTTAATTATAATGAGAAAATAATCTTAAAAATATTATAAAAACAATTTATTCAAACATGACCAAAAAATTACATTTCGTACCTAATCACAATTACAAAACTCTTGTCATCTTTCTAAATCTTTTATCTAACATTAATTTTTCTCCTTCTGTTTCAAAAGCAATTTAAATCTCATTGACCATTAATCTATTCGAATATTTTAGTCATGTTTAGTTTCTTTAAATATGTTAAATGACGGTTAAAAAAAATATATGTTAGAGTTTTGTGGAAGTAATTTACTCTCATATAAACAGTTTCATATTAAATTAATATATATATATATATAAGTTGTTATAAACTCTTCATATACATAAAAATACAAACAAGTAAAAAAAAAAATCTGTACTTTGTGCATAAAAAGATCTTTGAAGCCTATGAAACAGTAATCTAAATAAATTTTATTAATACTTCTATAACTTTCCAATAATATTAAAAAAAGTTAAAATATTCAGTTATATGGTACTAAATTATATTATAATGAATTTTTCTTTTAAAATGAATAAGAAATAAATACTATTAATTATTAATAAAAACTAATCTCAACACTTTAATATATATAATATTGACTGTTAATTTTTATTAAGAAATTGATTCTCTAAATTGGAGGAAAAATCTTTATGATATGAGAGAAAGAAAAATGAATTAATGCAAATGAAATTTTGAACTGACAAATATTAAATAAACAAAAAGATATGTCAATACTATGTAATTTTTTATAGCATGAGTTGTGTGTCTGGACTAAACTTGTTTATTTTATTTTTATTTTTTTAAAGACTCAGTTGGCTTTAAAAGGACTTAAATTATATATGATAGAAACTTAAGAGCAAAAAAAAAAATTAAACCTAATATAATATATATCAATAATAAATAAGTTTTTAATATTTCATTCAATTTTTTCAGTTGATAAATTATGGACAAGTTTTCTTTTTCTTTTTTATTTTTGAATTTAGAGTTGTGTTTTAGTTTGAAACACATATATTTTTAGTTCTTATATTATTAAAACTTAATCCTTATACTCGTAGATCTTTTTTTTTTTTTAATACCACTAATAATTCACATTTAGTTTAAGGATAGAAACAACACGAAAAGATAGTAGAGATTAATGTTCGATAATTTTAAAACTTATAAAATTGTAAAGTAAAATTAAAATATAAAAGTTGTTGTAAAAGTTAATTTTATGATTATTAATAATTTAAAATAGTCAATAAAATATTTGTTTTTCATAAAATATATTATTGAACCAAACCAGCGGTTCGTTAATGCTTTCGTTAGAATTTTTTTTTATATTTTTTTGTTTTTTTCGTACATAAATAGTTTTATATATTTTTTACTAGTCATTAATCATAAATGTTTACCTTTTTTTTATTAATTAAACAATATTTTCATGATTTCCAAATATAAGTACGGTAAAATCGAAAAGAGTAACCTATATAAGAAAATTTCTTATATTTTTACATATTTTAATATTATCTTATTAATAAAAAATATATAATTAATTATTATTGAAAATACTTTCATTATCTTCTAAAATTATTAAAATAAAAAGTATATATATTTAAATTTTAAAATTTATTATAAAAAATAATCTTAAATTATATATCTCCATAATTATAATCATGATACTAATTAATAATTTTTAATTCTGATCATAAAAATAAAATTACTTAAATTAAAAAAAAATTATACTCTCTTCTATAATATAATCTTATAATATATTTAATGAGAAAACTTTAACTTCAATGTTGTTTAAATTAGTATAAGTCATGTAATGCATATTGAATAAGTTATAATCTCAAGTTATTAAGTGAATTTTAAATTTAATTATCTTCTGAAATTATCGAATAAATTTTACATATTAGACCATATTATTAGTTAACGTGTATTTTCAACCAATCATAATATATTAAAATAAAAAAATTATAAATTATAAAAATATAGAATTAAATTTGAAATGAAAATTGAAATATTTAAAATACATTTTATCCTTGAAATAAGCATAGTTTCTTCCATAAAGATCTGTTGGCACGTAGGAGTACATTTTAAAAATAAGATCTTGATGTCTTCACTTGGGAAATGTACCTATTGAGTTTGATTCACAAGTAAAAATGTATCAATATAATAGAACGGTTGCACAATAAATTTGAGAGAACAAAAAAGGTGAAGAAAAATAAATGAAGAGAAAAAGAAGAGTGAGGAAGTGACAGAAGAAAAAGACTAAAGAGAAAAGTACCTAATTTTAGCTGGACATGATTCTAAGCTGATCCGAAACCAACGAAAAAAGCGGAAGATCATGCAAACTTGCAGTTAAAAGCTCGTTTTTGCCTCCTTATGTGAGTCCACTCTTCATGCTTCTTCCTACCCATTACTCGTTTCACATTCTTATAACATCTTCCACCTCTTCATGGATTCCTCGCACACCAACAACTCCACTTTGCTCACCAACCTACTAGTCTTCAACAACACCGTCAAAACAGGTTATGTCACCATGCATCTTTTGTCCCAGATTTTGTCTTTCTTCTTATTTTCATCACATGTTCAGTTTTTTATTGAAAGAAATGACTTTTTCTTTGTGGGGTGGTGAAATTTCATTATTTATTTGTCTATTTCCATTGTGGGGTGTGTGGATTGCAGAGTTGATGAGGAGCGTGCATGTGTACCAGCAAGGGGATGGGGAGGAAAGGACAGTTGAGAGAAAGTTTGTGTTTTCAGAGAGTGGCTTCTATGAGGAAATGCAGGTTACCCCAATTCTTAGATTGGTGAAATCCCATGTTTCTGAAGTGTGTGAAGGGTACCAAAATGGTGCGTGGCTTTGTATCTTTGCGTTTCATGCCGATCACACTCCTCAATTTTGCCGTATTCCTCCGCTTTTGTTGGTCTCGAGGTATATCTTTTTGGACCATATTTGTCTTCGACATTAGTCCTAAGTCCTAAGGTTTTAAGAAAAAGTCTGCAGAAGAAATCAAGTTTTGGAGTCAAGGTGGTCGTAATTCCAGTTGTCCGTAATTTTCTGCAATTTGACATTAGTCCCTAGGTTTTGGAAAATGGTATTTAGCAGAAATCAGCTAGTTTCGGAGTCATTTTGATCACAATTGTGACCTAATAGGCAGGATTGTGATCTCATCAGCTGTATTTGTCTCCAATTTGACATTATTTTCAAGGTTTTGAAGAACAGTCTGCGACAGAAATCAGCAAGTTTTGGATTGTGATCACATCACGGATTCGGGACAAAATTGTAACCGTATAGATGTTTAAAGCCCTGCATTAGTCCTTCATAGTTAACCTTGTTTGGTCCGTTGAATTAGAGAAACCCCCGACCAGTGAATTGGATATGTTCCCGTCTGAGATTATATGATTATGCAGTAAGCTCTTAGTGGCCTCAAAAATATTCCCCCACCTTAAATCAATCTCATTTTAAAATAGAGACACAAAATTTTGTAATGTGTGCAAATTGGATTGTTGCGCACATTTTAACCAAAGGCTACTTTTGGGTTGTAAATTTATAATTTATAAAGCTTAGGGATGTGGATTCATTGTTTTTGTTGAAGAACAGAAGATTTTCTCTTCACTTGTCAGAATGAAAGGTATTAAACGCTTTGACATACAACTGACAGACCTCTGCACAAGTAATTTTGGGTCACTCCCTAATAAACAGTATTTTTCCTTCTCAGGACATAACCATTTCTTAGAAGATCCAATTTCATTTACAAGTCCAGTTTATTGGAGTAGAAAACTCTAGAGTCCCAAGTTTTCTTTATGTATGTGGTAGTTAGACATGGATTACCCTAGAGCAGAAAAAGTTGAAAAAGCAGGACGTGAAATGATCATGGAATGATATTAAATTTAGAAAATATATTCCCCTAACTTTTGATAGTTCCTGTGAGTGATAGTATTATCACTTAAAATTCTCATAACAAAGAGAGATACAGGGAAAGAAGGTAGAGAAGCGTGAGACTTCGTGAATGATGCCATAAAGTGTTGTGAAAATTGAAGTGGGAATAGCATTAATTCTATTTTACTGGTAAGATTCATAACAAACAGAACAAAGCTAATGCTTCAGACTAGAATAAGCAAAGTTTAGTAAGTGACAGCATCTTTGGTTGAAGCATGATGTTGGCTTTTACAGGAAAAATATAGTCAATGTGTTTTAAGGTGAAAACTAGGGACGTCCTTTTCCCAAACACCAAAATATT